TTTTAAATTATCTTAGTAGCATGATGATTTTACGAGGAACTTAACACTTTTTCTTAAAAAATAAATATGAAAGAGAGAAATGTTGAATAGGATAATACTTATAAACTAGAAATGATGAAAGAGAAAAAAAGTTTGGAAAGCAAAATTATTTATGGTACATACCTTTTTGTTGATTATGTCTCATCCCTGGTAAAAATTTTCGAAGAAATAACCCAGATCATCATAAACCAAAACTATATTTTCATAGGATTTATAATATTACAATTTTTTTACATATCGAAATTGATTTCATAGAAGGGAGAAAAAACTAAGTACCTAAACAAACTTCCAATAATTACATAATAGAGTTAGATTTATAAATTGAGACTTCAGGAGTGACATAAACGTGGAGCAGCACAAGTTAGCTGAAATGATTAATTACTGAATTAGTTAGTTAATGTTATGTAAAGTTAGTTAGTGAAATGGTGAGCTGTGAAATCAGTTAGCCAGCTGGAAATACAGTTAGTAGATAAACAGTGTGTCTATATATACTTGTGAACTACTTGTACAGATTAATTCAATACAGATGAAAATTTCCAAATCGATTCTCTCCATTCTTTTTCTTCCTTTCTTGAGTTATGCTCCTCTCTAATCTCCAGATTGAGATTTGTTCATGGTATCAGAGCTTCGAATCAAAGTTTGATTCAAGTTCTCGTTTTGATCTTCTCTTCCGCAGCTAATCTGGTAAATTAACATTCAAGATTTTTTTATTTTCTCGAAGAACCATGGCCAACAAAGATACAATTGAGAAGCACTGTAATCATCCCTTGTATCTTCATCAGTTAGATACTCCAGGATCAGTGTTGACAAGCATCCCACTCACAAGTGTTGAGAATTATGTCGTATGGAGCAGATCGATGATTCTCACACTTCAAGCTAAGAGCAAATTAGGTTTTGTTTATGGAACCTGCAAAAAGAGCAATTATGGAGCTAACCTAGAAGAGCAGTGGAAAAAGTGTAATGCATTTATTTTATCCTGGATCCTCAACTCTGTATCAAAAGAGCTCATGAGTGGGATCGTATATGCCACAGATGCATCAGTTGTTTGGTCTGATTTGAAGAAACGTTTTGATAAGGTTGATGGCTCAAGAGGTTACTAACTACATAGAGAGATTTGTACAATTGCACAAGGTAACTCATCTGTATCTGCATATTTTACCAAATTCTGTGTACTTAGGGATGAATTTGATGCACTTGTTCCTCCACCATCCTGTGGTTGTGGAAAATCAAAGGTGTATGCTAGTGATCTACACTGTATGCGTTCATTTGCTTTTCTAATGGGGTTAAATGAGTCTTATAACCAACAAATGAGCCAAATCTTTATGATTATACCTCTACCATCCCTGAATAAATCCTATTCAATTATTGTTGTAGATAAAGGGCAGAGAATGACTGTTGGTTCGTACTCGGGGGTTAAAATGGGTGAATCATCAACTGCTCTTTATGTGGGAAGCACTAGTTCTAACAAACCTAGCTATCAAGGTAACTTTCATGATGAAAGTACTAGTCTAGGTAGTAATAACTTTGGCTATCCACCTGCTGGCAACAGTTCTTCCAATGTTGTGGGTTACAATTTTCAAAATGGTGGTTCCACTTCCAATTCACAGAGACATAAAAGGAACTATAATCTGCAATGTGAAGTATGCAAGTTGAAAGGACATACCAAGGAAACATGTTACAGGGTAGTTGGATATCCTCCTGGACATCCCAGGTTTAGGAAGAAATATGGTGGAACAAGGATGGCAAATGCAGTTGATTGTGATGATACTTTTAGTCCTTTCAGTGCAGCTGTGAGGAGCTAAGGTATGTAGGACACACATCCTATGGAACAACCAGTATTCACAAAGGAGCAATATGGACAGATACTCAGACTGCTCAACAAAAAGAAGGGCACTGAAGATTCAGCAGTCAACATGACAAGTATTGCACATGCTTATTTGGTAGATAATAAAGTTGACTATACTTACAAACAATGGATAGTGGATTCAGGAACCAGCAAACATATTACTTCAGACTTAGGAGCATTATTTGACACATATGCTTCCTACAAGGCAATAAAAAGCAAGTTCATCTACCTAATGGCCAAACCACCACAATTTCTCATATTGGAAAGTATAAATGGAATGGTAGGGATGTCTTGAAAGATGTATTGGTAGTGCCTAATTTTAAGCATGACATGTTATCTAAGTCACAACTCACTAAAAAATTGCAGTGCTCAGTTGTGTTTTTCCCTGAGTTTTGTGTATTTCAGGACCTCTCAACTTGGAAAGTGAAGGGGATTGGTAAAGAAAGTAGAGGCCTCTATGTACACAATGATGGAGCAGGCGTATTGTGCCACAAGAGACTAGGACATCCTTCTATCAATGTTCTAATGAGAATTTCATTAGCAGTGGGAGGACATGACAACACCATTCAGAATAAATACATAGTCTGCCCTTTAGCAAAACAGACTAAATTGTCATTTCCTTTGAGTTGTACTAGTAGTAGAATGTTTGATATAGTACATTTGGATGTTTGGGGTCCCTATAAAACAGCTACTCATAATGATTTTAGATATTTTTTTACTTTAATTGATGATTACAACAGGATGACATGGCTGTATTTGCTAAGATTGAAGTCAGATGTTATCACTATATTAAAGAACTTCACTTCAAAGATAAGAACTTAGTTTGCCTCTCCTGTGAAGATTTTTAGATCTGACAATGTGACTGAATTTTTTAATAAAGAATGCAAAGCTCTATTTGAGAGCACAGGTACCATACATCAAAGCAGTTATCCTCACACTCCACAACAAAATGGAGTTGTGGAGAGGAAGCACAAACATATATTAGAGGTGGCTCGAGCCCTTAGATTCCAAGGTAGTATACCTATTAGGTTTTGGGGTGAATGTGTCTTAACTGCAGTATACTTGATCAATAGATTACCCACACCAGTCCTTAAGGGTAAGTCTCCATATGAATTGTTCCATAAACAAAAGCCCCCCTTAATCATCTAAGAGTGCTTGGTTTTCATTGCTATGCAACTAAAGTTGTCAAGGTTGACAAATTCTCACCCAGGGCTGCTGCTTGTGCCCTCTTAGGATATTCTGCTACTCAGAAAGGTTACATCCTTTTTAACTTACATATCATGAAGATATTTGTGAGCGGAGATGTAGTTGTTCATGAGAATGTGTTTCCATTCAAGATTGGTTATTCTCAATGCTTCTGTGCCCCTACTTCCCTACCTACTATACCAGTACACTTTGATGAGGATGAGAATTTCATAGTTGGTTCTGGCACACATGCAAACTCCAATAGTAGTGATAGTGACTTGGTTCCAGATGGTGAGGCCAGTGAACCTGTAGTAGAGACATCATTTGCTGATGAGATGAATTTTGATCATGCACCAACTGTAGATGTTGATGATCATCATCACATCTTAGAGGTAGTTCCTGAATTACCAGTTGCCACTCATGCTCCTAGAAGGTCAACAAGGGGTACTGCAACACCTACATGGCATCAAGACTATCACTGGTCATAAGGTTGGGAAGCAGGTTTCTCACCCTATGGGTAATTATGTTTCTTATCAGCATATTTCTTCACCATATCAAGCATATATAGCCAACATTTCCACTGTTGTGGAAACATCCACATATGAAGAAGCTATAACTGACTCTAGATGGGTTCATGCTATGAATCAAGAGTTGCAGGCTTTGAAGGATAATGGGACTTGGAAATTGGTTCCTTTGCCCCATAATCAGTCAATTGTTGGGTGCAAATGGGAAATTGGTTCCTTTGCCATCTAGACTATTCCTTATTTACAAAGAAGCAAGGAAACAAGATGGTAATAATACTAGTATATGTGAGTGACTTGCTTATAACTGGAAATGACACACTGTTGATCAAGGAAACTAAATAGGTTCTCCATCAATCCTTCCAAATTAAGGATTTAGGGGAACTGAAGTTCTTCTTGGGAATTGAATTCAGTAGATCAAAAAGGGGAATCCTAATGAATCAGAAAAAGTATGCTCTAGAACTATTAGTTGAAGCTGGTTTAACATGAGGAAAAGTAGCATTAACTCCCTTGGAGTGCAACATGAAGCTGACTATAGCTGAGCAAGATGATGACAAAGCAACTGAACTAGTGGAAGATATACAACAGTATTAGAGGATGATTGGGAAACTGCTCTATTTGACGATTACTAGACCTGATATTGCATACACAATGCAGACACTGAGCTAATTTATGCAAAAGCCCATAATGCAGCATTAAGAGTTGTGAGATACATTAAGACTCAACCAGGGCTAGGACAGTTAATGTCATCAGAGAAAGACATGAGGCTGACAGGGTATTGTAATGCAGATTGGGTTGCATGCCCAAATACCAGAAGGTCTGTAAAAGGATACATCTTGAGGTTGGGAAATTCACTCATTGCTTGGAAATCCAAGAAGCAGGCAACAGGCACAAGGAGCTCAGCCTCGACTGAGTATATAAATCTGGCAGGGTTGACATTGACAGCTGAAGTAGTTTGGGTGAATAATCTAGCAAAAGAATTGGGAATCAAGATTGAAGGTCGAGTATCAATATACTGGTGATAACAAGGCTGCTATACAAATAGCTGCAAACGCAGTATTTCATGAGAGGACTAAGCAGACTGCCACTTCATAAGGGGAAAAAATCAAAAGAGGTAGACCGTTTATGATCCATCACACGATCAACTAGCAAATCTACTAACCAAGGCATTGGGAAGGACACAACTTGAATACTTATTATCCAAACTAGGAGTCCTCAATGTCTTCATGGGACCTAGTTTGGGGGGGGGGGGGGGGGGGGGTATTGAGACTTCATGAGTGACATAAACGTGGAGCAACACAAGTTAGCTAAAATGATTAATTACTGAATTAGTTAGTTAATGCTACGTAAAGTTAGTTGGTGAAATGGTGAGCTGTGAAATCAGTTAGCCAGCTAGCAATACAATTAGTAGATAAACAGTGTGTATATATATACTTGTGAGCTACTTGTACAGATTAATTCAATACAGATGAAAATTCCCAAATTGATTCTCTCCATTCTTCTTCTTCCTTCGTTGAGTTCCACTCCTCTCTGATCTCCTGATTGAGATTTGTTCATTATATATCTTGAAATACCCAAGACTAGTACATAGGAAAAGACAGAGAGCCTATCAGTTTTAAGAAGCATGCAACTATAGAGCATCCAAAGAATAGGTCTGAAACAAGTATGATATTATCTTCTTGTAGTCACCAATCTGTGTGTCAGTGTTTGGATCAACAAGGTAAGGCACCTGCAAAATAAATTGGACTTCACTTTGAATTTTACTTGCAAAATGCTAGATGCCCTAAGAATTATGAAAAGAAAACAGTTCATGTCAAACGTGATGCACTATCTTGTTTTAATCTGTTCTAAAGCATAAAGAAATAAAGTAGAATAAGTTGCAACAAAGAGATCAGATCATGTTTGCAAAGCAATCTAGCCAAACTTAAGATTCTCCAGAACTTTTGCAGCATAAAACATCAATTACATATGGAGTTTCTTGACAGTCCCATGACTTATTTAGGTCTTATGAACACGGAGGTTAGAGATATATAACCAGCAGAGGGACAGATTATCAATCAATCAACTAAATATTACTACCAACTAGTAGGATCAACCGTATGAATCCATCCTTTGCATCCATTCCACTCTATTTGGGACATGTTCCAAAGAATTCATCAAGTTTGAGTATTTATGCAGGCTGTTAACCTACCGCAACCCTCCTTTAAGCTGACAATGCCAAGCTCTATTAGCGCCTTACCAGAATTATAGAAGGGAGATAGACTGCAAGTATAAACGAACAAGAACATTGAAAAGGAATTCTAACCTCCTTTCCACCAGATAATTTGATGAGTGACCGTTCACGTGTTGATCCCTCACCTATGTTATTTAGTATGTAAGGAAGCTCCAGTTCACAAAGTGCTTCACGAACTATTCGAGCATACTGTGACAGGAAAAAATGAAAAAAAAAAAATGAAGGAAACAATTTTATTAATTTCACCAGAACAGAAGTATTTCCCAACAGTGCATCGGCATGCTTGTCTTTTGCTCATATTATATGTTTTTCTGGGATTTCCCCAAGTATTTAAGGGTCACACTATGACTTGCATGTATCTTGGGTTCGGTTTGACTTTTTTTCTTTTAATACCAAACCAAGAGTGGTCGGTTTTTTTTTTCAACCGCAAAACAAACCAAACCAAACCACAAATCGATTTTTTTTTTCAGTTTGATTTGGTTCGTTGGTTCGGTTTGACTTTACGGTTTGTCTTGTACACCCTACTGCTGATCTACATTCTGTGTTTTATGGTCAACGTTTTTTTGAGGTAAACAGGATTCAGGTACATTAATAGAACCTAAATGACTGGGAGATCGGGAGAGTGGCTGAGCTATTACATGTTCTCAATGATTTTAATGGGTTATCAGCAGAAAAAGATTCTATCATATGGAAACATTCTAGAGATGGAAGCCTTTCTGTTAACAAGCTATATATTAAAGAGGTAAATGAGTATCCAGGTGGTAAACCTGGCCCTTGGAAGCAGATTTGGAGGAACAAGGTGCCAACCAAGGTAAAGTGTTTTTCCTGGTTGGTTGCCAGAAGAGCATGCTCCACTCATGAGAAATTAAAAAGTAGGGGTTTCTATATTGCTTCTTGGTGCTCTCTCTGTAATGAGACTGAGGAAACCAATAACCATTTGTTCCTCCATTGCAAAGTGACAACACAATTGTGGAACCTTTTTTTGGGACTAACACATACTGAATGGATTATGCCTGAGCATACAGCAGATCTACTTAGTTGCTGGATCAGCAGAGGGGGGAGAAAATCTAAGAAAAAGTGGTGGAGTATAATACCATCATGCATTTGGTGGTGTATTTGGAAAGAAAGAAATAGCAGATGCTATGATAACAAAGCTAATTCAATAGAGAAAGTCAAATGGAACTGCTTGACTACTTTTTATTTTTGGTGTAAAGAGGAAGGGATAGAAGATATTGCACAAATTTTGGATTTTATAGGCACTTTGTAATCTATTAGCCTTTTTGTTTTCTTCTCTTGGTGGAAACCATTTTTTGGAGGTCTCCAGCATATCCTTAATGCTGATGAATACAACATTACCTTTATCAAAAAAAAAGTACTTTCAACATGGAGTACAAATTTATAGGTCAAAAATTCATTAAAATTCAATAAAAAGTAGATATGAACCCATGATTTTAGAAATATAAGGAGTTCTATGCTAAGAACCTTAAAAGTTGAACCCATAGAACTTAAATCTTGGATCCGCCTCTATCCATGTGCCAGAACAATTATGAGACGCCTTTAATATGTTAAATAAGCACATAAAGCACAGGTTTTGCCTATATTTTTCATCGTTCTTTTAAAATCAGATAAGCAGGTTCATGACTAAAGTGCCTGTATAATCTTAAATGCCAATAAATTTAGCAGTTTGTCCAGTAAAAATACAGCAGATTGTCCAAATAACTAGTAAATTGAAAATGTTGTAGAACCTTTCACAAGTTGTACCTGGTAAGGATTGTAAAAAAATAGTCTCTGAAAATCACTAGTATGGCCACAACATTTTTTCCAACACAAGCCAGTTTATATCTGATTATCTGAACTCAAATTAAATAAAAATTTCCTAGCTTCATAGTGCGCAGAGAAGTATTCAAGATACAAAACGAGCAGTCAATATTCCTGAAAAAAGAATGATTTAGTAGCAGTCTTACAGGATTATTCTCATATGAGAAGAGTTCAAGCTTTTTAGGTGGTGGCTCTTTCCTGGATTTTTCCCAAAATGTCATTCCCCTTCCTGCTCGAAGAAGAGTTGGCATCCATCCTGTTAAGATAGTACTGTATGTTGCCAATGTATAAATTGTGTCAAAATCATAAACAAAGATGGCTAAACAATATGCATTCTTCTTCAAGCCATAAACTGCAACTCAGACTCCTGCACTATTTAGCATGACATACTATACTAGGAAGGTAATAGTACTATCATCTTAGAGCCTATTTGAATTAGCTTTTACTTTTTGACTTACAAGCCAAAAGCCATTAATTAGAATTTCTAACTTATGGCTTTTGACTTATTTTAACCAATTTAGCTTTAAAAAGCCAACCCAAACAAGCTCTTAAAAGTATGAGTGTCTACTGTCTTAATTAACTTGGTTGCATTACTTTACTGCTCACTAAAATTTATAGAGAACATGAAATATCTCCTGCTCATGTGAAAGTAAAACACTGTGATCTTATGCAGAAACATCCTAGCGTTTGAGTATTTAACAAATTATAGAAGTCTTGTTGGTTTTGAACAAAGGAATTAGGAAATAACAGAGAAATAAAATACTGCATTGTTGTCAAAGGGAATAATTTTATTCAGCTTTGTTGAACTCTACATTTATAGGAAACTTGCAGCAAAATATACTAAAAATATGATCATTATCCTAGCCTAGAATATCTCCATTGAATCATATCTTTACCTAAGTAATTACTAGAAATTAGGAATAACTAGTTAACATTAACAAAGATTTATTAAAAAAAAAAAAAAACTAAAGTAGTAAAATAAAGTGACCACAGTTCAAAAGCATAATTCTAACAAGTCCAGCAAGGGTAAGTATAGGCATATTTGTTAGTGTCAGGAAGCAAAAGCAGCTGAAAAAGACATTAGGAGAACATAAGCAAACTTGCATACATATAGACGTCCCGTTAAAGATGTATCCAGACCACTAATTATACCACGTTAGTGATCTGTATGATGATCCTTTCTATGTTCTTTCTCCAAATTTCCATTTCTAAATGGATATTGAATTACAAGGCAGATACATGAACTTCATTTTATATGAAAGATTTTACAGTCTAAAATAAAACCTTTTGCTAATGAGAAATATAGTTGATAATCATATTATATCATGAGCACTTGCTGCAGTTCTAGAGAGGATATTTTATTTTTCTTGCTGCAGTTCATTTTTTATCTGCTTCTTCAGCCGCAGAGCTGTTCATCTGTAACACAACACTGGACCGCGCCGCCCGTCTCCATTCACTGCTCACTGGCGACTGCAGCCTCACCACCCACCTCCGTTCAAATTTGTTTAGGGTTTTCAGATTGCACAGGTGTGTTAAGCTGCTAAATCACACCATGAAAGTTTTGGAGAAGGTAGTGGAGCCAGTTTGGATTCATGCCAGGACATTACACTACTAAAGTCATTCATCTTGTGAGGAGACTGATTGAGAAATATAGGGAGAGGAGGAAGAATTTGCATATGGTGTTCATTAACCTTGAAAAGACCTACGACAAAGTTATGAGAGAAGTTCTTTGGTGACGTTTGGAATCTAAAGGCGTACCAGTGGCATACATTAGGGAGATAAAGGATATGTATGATTAGGGGTGGGCATGGTATGGTACGGTACGGTATTTGAAAGTTTCGATACCGTAATTTCGGAGTTCGGTTTTTAAAACATTATACCATTACCATACCAATTTAATTTGGTATGGTTCGATATTTTGATGTTTGGTTTGGTATTCTATGGTATGGTAAATCAGTAACCATTGTTTATTCAACTTCGACTAATATATACTCGTATAATAGAGTATTATGACTTGGACAATTAAAAAAATGTCTCAATTGTATCATACACATGTAGAAATATTTATTCAAAATAAAGTACAAATAACTCCTTTTGTTAATCAATTAAATTTCAAATACATTTCAATCAAAATAGAGTAGCCAAAGTTTCAACTTCTAAACATTTAATTTATACTAATACTAGGTTGCATATTTGTTAGTATTTTAATAATAATAATAATAATAATAATAATAATAATAATATATATATAAATATTAATTATTTATGTAACAATATACTTTGGTATGGTATTCGGTATTACGGTATGTTATTTCTAAATACCAAATACAAAAGAAAAATTAAAATGTATACCATATACCATACCAAATACCATAATACTAAAACCACGGCTTCAAAAATTTTGATATGGTATGGTAATTCGGTATATACCATACCATGCCCACCCCTATGTATGATGAAGCCAAGGCCCGAGTAAGAGCAGCGGGAGAAGACTCGGAGCACTTCCCTGTCGAGATGGGGTTGCATCAGGGATCAACATTTAGCCCATTTCTATTTGCCTTGGTGATGGATGAATTGACGCGACTTATTTAGGGTAAGATGTCATGGTCTAAGTTATTTATTTTTGATAAAAAATAACTTACACCATTACATCTCACCCTAAAAAGCTGCGTCAACATTGTTTTGATGAAGGAGACTCGTAGTAGAGTTAACGATAGGTTGGAGGAGTGGAGACAGACTATGGAGTCTAAAGCTAAGTTGCGCGGACTCTTCACTTTCGATGCCGCACTCGTGTTGGATTCTTCAAAAATACACTACTTTGGAGAATCTGACACACACATGTTGTCATTATTGAAGAGTCCAAGCAACATAGGTGATAGCTCCATGGACACGGATGAGGCTATAGAAGCCCTAAGAAGACCATCAAGGTCTCAAGATAAGGAGTTGCAAGCCAATATCGTTGGGCTTCAATGGGAAATCAAGAAGATGCTTATCATGGAAGAAAAGCCCAAGAACGAGTCCAAGAATTGTGGAGAAGAATAGAGTAGGTGCTACACATATTTTATGGTTCACGTCCTAGCCCAGATGGAAGAAGATTGGGCCACACAAAGCCCAACAAAAGAGCCCAAAAAGTTGAACGGTTAAAGTCAAAGTTTCCTAGTTTAAGAAGTTCTTTATTTTAAAGTTTCCTAGTTTAAAGTTTTCCTAGTTCAAAGTTTCCTAGTTTAAAGTTTCAATAAAAGTAGGATTTGAATCTCATTCTATTTGGGATAGGTTTTCCCTATATACAGGGTTTTATATTTTTTATATTTTAAGACAGACAACATTATTATTAATTGAAAGTTTCTCTTCTTTACACCTTTGTGTGTAACTACTTAGGATTTATCTTACAATATAAGAACGACTCTTAAGAGGTGAGATTAATTCTTTAATTTGATACCTTTGGTTCTTATTCGTAAATTAAAGAAGATAATTAGTCTTATACTAATTGTCTCTAGTGTCTTCGAAATAGGGGTCTAGATCATTTTTTGATCTAAGTTCTTGAATTGGCTCTATTAGAATCAATAATTAACTTTAATCCGCTAATTTTTTAATACTAAGATCAATTAGGGTTCTTATCACGTCTTTTGAATTTGGAGATTTTCTCCACAAATTTTGCATATCTTTTTTTTTGAAATAGGTAACTTTGTATTCACACAAAAGAACTCAACAAGAAAGGGTATCCAATTGAAATCCAGGCACTTTTTTCTATTTTTCGCTTAGATGATTTACAAACCCCCAGGGGGTGCCATCATTCTCAAATCCAAAAACAAATTTTCAAAAATTTATAATTGGCCTATAAACTCCACTAAACTATCTACTTCCCCCACTAAATCTTGCTTACACCAAAAAAACAAAAGACTAGGACATCTCATCTTGATCATCTGGGAGCTGCTAACCCTCCCTTCAAAGCACCTCTCGTTCCTTTCTTTCCATAATGTCCACCAAATGCAAGCAGGGACATTTTTCCACCAACCTTCCTTTGATCCTCTCTTTCCAATTCATTGCCAGTGTGTTAGTACCTCAAAAGTGGTTCTGGGCATTGTCCAATTAACCCCAAGTATACAAATGAACATGTTCCACGGATCTGTAGACATCCTGCAATGCAGAAATAAATGGCCATTTACTTCAGCTTCTTGTTCACACATATAGCACCTTGAACAGATCTGTATACCTCTTCTTTGTAGCACTTCGTGGTTTAGACAAGCTCTACTAATTACCAACCAAGTGAAGCATGCAACTTTTAAAGGGATCTTAATCTTCCATATTAATTTCCAGGGCCAAACTGCTGTCAAAAGGTGATTGGTGTTCCTTTCCCAGTAACAAGACTTCACTGTAAAAACTCCTCTGCTATGCAATTTCCAAACTGATTTGTCGGACTCTGCATTGATGCCAAGGAACAAGTTAAAGGCCTGAAGTAAGTCTGCTACTCTTCCAACCTCACAAACATTTAGAGCCCCTCTAAACATAAGGTTCCAGCCTTGAGGACTCCACATCTGCGCTATAGTATCATTTTGTTGTAGGCTAATAATGTACAAGTCAGGAAAGAGTATCCTCATTTTCACCAGAAACTGATCTTCAGAACAGAATTCTGTTAGGGATGCGTTGAAAGTCATTAATTTAATTATTTAATTATATTTTTAGTTTCTTTATTTATTATTCTAGAATAGGATTTATGTTTCAGAGTTTCATAAGGATTAGGTTAAATTATAGTTATTAGTTTGGAATAGGATTATAGTCTCCTACTTCCATAAGAGTTAGACTTCCTATTGATGTAATAACACTCTTATTTAAAGGGGCTTTAGATGAATAAATCAGTAAGTCATAATTCAGCAAAAAGCAGGAGATTAGAGTTCTCTCTTCCATTGAACTGTAAGGTTTCAGTCTCCCTTTGAAGAGCTGAAGAGATCGGAGTTCTCTTTTAATGAATTATAAGGTTTCAGCCTCCCTTTAACGAGCTGATTTATATATCGCCCTGTGAATCGATCATTCCCTAAAGATTCATAACAATTTGGTATCAGAGCCTAACACAATGGGCGATGAGATCAATTCCAGATTTAGAGAAGAACGTGCCATTACAGAAACCCTAATAGACTCTAAAATTGCAGCAATGGAACAACGCCTCAGCAAAAAAATTATCCAAGTCATCCAAGAACAATTGTCTAGATTGGGAGTTGGCTCCACAAAACCAGCAACCCATAGACCTGAGTCATATAGCGCCCAGACAACTG